AATTTTGGCAGTGTAGAATGATGTGTAGAAGCTACGACAAGCTATTTTTTTCAAGTTAAAACTATCAGCATTTGAATGTCAAGACATAAAAGTGTTTCAGGCATATTATCAAGACATAAAAAAACCTTTGTTGTAGGTATAAAAAGCCTCCATATTTTCCAAAGGTGACTTTTGGTTAAGCACAGAAAAAAACGACACATGCGAAGGAAATGTATGTACAAATTAAGCATGAAAAATACCGAAATCTTTCTACTCTCATGCAATTAATACACTTTCTTCGACATGCCATTTCGAAAAACACGATTATTTCAGAACAAGTGTTGCAACCTTGTTCTCGTCAACTATCCCTCTTTCAGTTGTAACTTTCAGTCGTAAGTGTGCATAAAGAAGGTCAGTTAGCAGCAGAATCTGCAAACAAATTGTGTTCTGACATTCAAAATAATAAAGATTTGCATCTGCTTAGCTAAATAAATGTCACAGAATAAATCTAGATGGAACTAGATGCAGTTTCTCTGTGGAACGTGAAGCTATAGTAACAATTTCGAAAAATCCATTTTCTCTACTTTCACTAATGACTATTGTTTTAAAGGACCAGACTGAAAAAGAATATTAGTGTTTCGAAGTGAATTCAGAAACCTATTTAGGAACTTTCATGAAAATTAATGTGATAAAATTTAGGTCGTATCATAGTTCAAAGAGAACTCAATAATAAACATCTGAAGTGCACCTGGGCCACGGAATAAATCAGAGTAGCTGCAAAATAGAAGTTCGCATTTCCTGATCCAGTTATTACCCACATCTGCCACATGACTGGTGCTAGAACCATTGTAGTTGATAATGCTCCACCAATAATCAGTCCCCAACGAAAATCTATTAAAGTTAAGACTTCATCATAAAACGATAGTAACTTTTGGAAAGTCATTTCTAATTATGAATTTAACGATTATCATTTAAAACATTGTAAATTGTGAGAATACATTTTTTTAAATGCGTAAATAGAGGAAGTAAGCTCAAGTAGATCAAACTGTCAGCCATCGTTGGATATGAAGAAAATACAGAAGTGAGTATCATTAACTGATGAAGAAGAAGAAAAGCACTGGATCTAAAAATACAATTATTGTAAAATACTATAACAGAAAATACTACAATAAAATACTAAAATACTATAATAGAAAGATCATATTACAAACTAATCCAAGACACTGAAAAAAAGAAATACTAAATATCTAAAAAATATTTTTTTTTTTTAGGAGATGCTAACTGTAATGAACAGTAGCAAAACGTAACCTTAAAGTTAGCGATAACGGAATTAGATAGACAAAGATATTCACTTGGAACACCCACAGAAAAAAACATCGAAAATGATCGAAAACTTCAATGAAAAAATACCAAAATATGCCAACATTTGGCGTTAAATCACGAACATCCAATCTAAAAAACAAGATCGAATAAAATAAAATTTTAGAAATAGTTATGAAACGTAGCAGTACAATTAAGTCTCAAAACCTACAAAAATTTGTACGTGGAATCAACATAATCCCAGCTTCTTCCATTTAGATAATAATTTAAAAACATCAGAGATGTAAGCGAGATGATTGAAAATATGAAGATCAGCAAACGTTGTTGGAGTTTTGAAAATCTGACAAGTAAAGCGCACAAATAAATAACTGGATACAGTGAAAAATGAATGAGAATACTGCAGAATATTGTGCTGAACAGCAAGCAACCTGCAATTTAAAATATGTTCAAATACGCTACTCCAAAATACTTTTAAAAAACAAATTATGCTAAAATTTCTCAAAAGGCGAGACGTACCCTCTTATGTTAAAAATTGGTAATAAATAATAGAACCACAAAAAAGCTGTATTGTAAGAAACTGAGGTGATTTATCAACATTTAACTGAAAGTTTATATAACATAAATACTTAGTAACTAATAATATAATAAAAGAAATTTTTAAAATGCTTTTAATAAACTTACCATTTACAAATGCCAAGATTAAAAGAGCAGTAATAAGATTGTAAATAACTGATAAACTGAAGACAGCACAAGTAGCAATAGAAATAGGATTGAGAATATAACTGAAATTCAAAAAACAAAAAGATACAAAAATGTAAAACAAAACATGAAAATCAAACATAAAAAAATAAATGAAAAATATCTTCATAATGGTGTTTTTGCATTAGTATCCAGAAAATATTCTATTCTTTTACCATTTTGACACAAAATTAGCTATCTGCTTTACATCTTTTGCGTCATTTTTTTGATTTTTTAAATGAACCATTGCTATCATATACAAAATTTCACTAGTTACCACGTCGATGATCTGAAGAAAATTACTGAGATTAATTCAAAAACCAAAATATGCCTTATGTTTACAAACAGAAAATTATTTAAAAAATTTTCTCAAGCAGTCTTGATCAAAAAATCAATGATCCTGATTTTTCGTTTTACATCCTACAACAATAAGACCACCAAAACAAAAGCCTTAATTCATTCCTTTCATAATATTATTCATAAGCTCCTACTTTATGCCGCTAACTTATTAAAAAAGAACTATAAACTTCATGTTCAACAAACAAAAAACAATTCAAACAAAATCATATACCACAAAAAATCCCAACAAGAAAAGCGGATGATCGATCACTGCACTGAATAAGCTAAGGATGACAGGTGGCTGGAATCAAGGTCAGTAAGCTTTTTTTTACAAACGCATCAAATTCAGGCTGTTTTGAATCATGGCAATTTTTTTATTTCCCATCTCATTTTAATTCTATATTTTGTTTCTTTTTTCTTTCACACAACTCTATAAAAAATTGTGATCGATGTATGAATTCGAAATGCTGATATGCAAAAGACAACTAAATTTTCTAAAAAAAAACTAGAAATGATAAAATAAGATAGAGCTTACACAATGAACCATATCACCGCTGTATGGTGAAAAGCCATCTCTTAACATGTTCACCCCATCGACAAGCCTTCGAAATGAATTCTGTGGAACATTTAATTCTGGTCTCTTTTTCAAGAAATCGATACAATAAAAAAAAGCGAGGACACGAAGTAATACTCCTAAAGCGTATGCTCTGTAAATAAAGCAAAAAATACATTTTTCGTTCTTACGGTAATTAAGACAAGCATAATACTTCATGATGGCACAGTAAGAGCAGCTATATAGTTGAACAAAAATGCCTATCACTGAGTCCTCGTACTATCTGCAATTTTTCAAATCAATTTAGACTGCTATCCTAAACACATGGATCACCATTCTATGGAGGAAAGTGTGGCTTATGCATCAAGAATGATGGACATCACAATTCCTTACAACCGCCACTGTATCGATTCTTTCCCACACAAATATAATTTATATATTAAAAAGATAAATTTAAAGAGATTCATGCTTACTTTGATTTACTGAGCATCGAGTCAAAAACCAATAAGAAGCCATACTTTAATCTCACCATTTCCAACTTCTGTAAACGATTTTGTAACTTTTCCTCAAATATTATTCAGCTCAGGAAATTACTAAATTTTAAGATGAAACTACTAACCATAGCGCTGAAACACCCACAAACTTACAAAACATCATCACCCAATCCATAATGCTTTGGCACAACATACTCGAATATCCAAATCATGGTAGTACATTACAAGCTAAAACCATTAAAAAAATTACACTACACACACTCACATTACACTGCAGACACTTACAATACACTATCTCAAACACCTTGTATTTTGTACAGAAATATCAATATTCAGGCAGTAATCTTCCTTTCCTGAAACAGTCTACTTTATTCAAAATATGGTTAATATTACATTTTTAATGTTTATTATACTATTACAGTCAAAAAAATGATAGTGTGATAATATCACTTGTTTAATTATACATTTAAAAAATTTTAAACCATTCATTGCAAACATGGAAACAGAATTCTCTAAAAAGTAAGTGACTTCATAGCTCCATAAAACAAGCAAAGCTAAATAATAAACGATAAGTGTTTTATGCGAAATAATGCCTAGAATATAACCAATTCGATTTGAAACACAATATTTATGGACGGGAGTATTCTAAAAACGCAATGGATGAAGAGATACAATATGCAGTAACAGAAATCAATATCACTGACATGTTATCCAATAAAAAACAGATCATGCTTAAACATGAATAAAAATACTTTTGAACTGAAACAACTATAAGAAAACTGAGAAGGAATAAACTAATTATACTACAGGGTAAAAATGTCTCCTACTTCAATAATTATTAAAACTTTAAAACCGAGTGGTAACATGAATGAATTAATCCAATTGCTGAATAAAGTTCAATAACTGTAAAATACTTATGAACTCTTGAAAAACAGGGATATGTAAAAAAAACCACAATTTGACAATTTTTTAAATATAAAAATATCAATCGATTAACTGGAAAAAAGAGGCACTAAACTTTCTATCAAAATTTTGCAGAGAAACAATACTGGCTACATTAATGAATTTGAACATAATTTCCGAAAAAAATACAAATTATATTGCGTAAGTATGCACTATGTGAAAGCAATGGGAATATGAAGAGGTTTAAAAAGGATATGTAAAGGTATAAATATACTATAATTTCATCTAAAACTATAACTTTATCCAATGATAATGAGAGCGCAATAAAATGCCAAAAGAAATCCTAGATGTAACAGAGGTATTTTTCATGTCATAAATGTTGCCTGATCAATCAAATATTCAATTTACAACTGTGAGAGGATATTGTCGCGACGACGTTTACGTTCCATTTCAAGTTCCTGAAAAAGCTCATCGATATCTTCTTTTTTGACTTCTCTTCCTTCATCAGCTAATCGCTTGAAGCGATTTCCTAATTTTCGCTTCATCTCTTCATACCCTGAACAAACATAATACTGATGGCAAAGATAAGAGCAGTATCAAAATAATAAAAAATTAATTAGTAAAATTGCTTTTAACCTCGGAAAAGTGTTATTGCTGTTTCACGACCTGCGACACTAATCAAAGCATTAGTCATGTATCGGTCATCGTGCCTTTGTCTTTTGCTATCGTCATTTGAATGTGAGTCAACAAACGTTTGCATGCAGTCATTGAGATCAGTTAAAAATTGGAGATTATAGTCTTCATAAAGCTTCTAAATATACATTTAGTATAATGCACAATGTGCTCTAAAAATAAAAATTCTCAAGGCTTTAAATAACAATATTGTGTAAATGCTGTAGTCAACGTTTCAGTCATTCACACATCTCAATGTAATTCCGTATAAAAAAGAAAAAATGAAATAAATTAGAAAATTAAAAATTTAAGTGAAAAATTGGGCATTTTGAGATGATTTGAACTCTGGAAGAAATTCTTTTTTTTTCAAAGGTTCACAACCTACACAGCAATTTTTGCACTGACATAGGCGACTTCGCCACGTATATGAGTTGAAAAATAGGGAGCGTGGTAGTTTGTTTTCATCTGTCTTGGAATTTTCTTCTAAACACTTCAGTTTGCATAACTGATCGTTACCAGACATTTCACTATATGTTTCATCAGCATAAAACAACAGAAACGTGAAGCGTGAAACACATGTTCTACAAATTACTTCATCTATCTCGTTGACATTGATACTGTCAGGTGCTTCCAGGTGCTATAAAACTTTTTTTACTTCCAATTATTTTTGCATGGAAACAAAATATGGCTTCCTGATTGATATCAGTATATCAATTTTTTTTCCATTGAACTGCGTCTACATTTATTCTCTGTGTATGTGAAAGATTTTGAAAAACAAACAAATGAAATAACCATGAATTACTGACTACTAAAACTTCACACCTGAAGATGAAACCAATCCTCGCATATTACACACTGGAGCATTTCAGAATCACTATATTCTTCGCATGGATATGGACGATTGCAAATACAATAAAGACCGTCAAAATTATGATTGTACACATTTCGCTCATTTAGAGGTTTTTTTTCCTGAAAACATTAAACTAATTACTCAGAAAACTTTTAGAAATTTCTACTTTCTAACATGGATTAAAAAGCAAATAATATATTATATTTCTAACCTGAACTAAATATGTGTTAGAAGTCAGTAGAAGATTTAATCAAAATTACAAGAATGCAACTATCCAAAATCTTATTCTTCGAACGTTGTTTAAACAACTTCCTTAGAGTTTCGAATACTTTGATACTTTAAATGATAAAATAGTTTTGCTTTGAGAAAACTGGAATTGAGACCATCTATGAAGTGAGTCCTTACGAAATAAGTGCAATTGCCGCAAATTCTTATATCTGAAGAACTTTATGCTGAGATTATACACGTCACCTTGTATAGTGCACATGAACTTTCAAATTTTGAATTCCCGCAGTCACAACAAAAGTTCCGTTTTGTGTACAGTTCAAAAAGTTCGTGTCCGTCATGACAATTTATGCTGCACCCATAGCATAGCGCAGCAGGTCCAGAAATAGTTGTACAATCGCGACATGCATAAAGAGGTTGTCTTGGTTTATATCCCTATAAATCCACAACTTCAAAGTGCATAACGGTTGAAAGAAAATCATTGAACCATATAGGTTTGAATAAATGAAACTAATCACCCAAACTTCAACGATTTTTACTTAAATCTCGAATTTTTTCATACTTCATTTGATTATGATACAATAAAACAAACAATATTATGAAAGTAATATTAATTTCAAAACTAAATCATACTAGTTCTTTTTATTTACTTTCCATAAATTTAAAGTTGCGAAAACGAAATTTTAGAACATGTAATTAAGACAAGACAAATTGATGACATGAAAATAGTTAGATTTTAACTTTTTATAGAGCAAGAAATGACCTCGACATACGTGCACACATCATCATTAGCCCCACCCAGTACTGCTTCTGCTTCCGCTTCCAGTTCTTCGTGCGCTTCAATAACTTCATTCAATGTCACTAATACATCATTTGTTACACTGAAATAATGCAAAGTAAACTGCCAACTTTTTGATAAAGACTGATCACGAGCACCTGAAACAGTATTTGCTGCCATAAATAACTTTGTTTGGAGTTTCACATCAGAAATCAGTTTTAAGTCTGTTGGTTTCATAGAAATATTTCACATGTCCTTTCCTATCTTAATAAATCATGATGTGCAGTCCGAGGAAACTATTTACTGCTGATGAAACACAAGGCAAATACATTTTTAGTATGCCTTTATAAGTGACGTAGTTGATTTTATAAGCAATACTCTTTTTGTGAAAAGAAGCAAATAACTAATGACATTCAGATCTTTATTCACTATTAGTAAAACGCTTCGTCAAAATAGCATTTTTAATGCTACTTCAAATGTTTCAATTGGAAACAAAACATTAATATATGTCAAATTTCTTGCTCAAGTTCTCTAAATATATTTATTGTAAAATGAGCGCAGCTTTCGTCCACCTGAATAGAAAACCAGTTTTTGCTTACTTGATTTTCTAATTTGTAAACAATTTTAATAGCCATTAACTAATCACTAAGTGAATTTATCTTCAGCTTTAATAAAAGCAAATAATTATATTCTTTTTACGGTTTCCACGTTTTAATCTTAAAAGCAATTTCAGACTCGAAAATTCTCAAGTTTCCTCCGCTTAAAGTGCAAATGAAAGTATACTACACAGGTAATAAAGTAAGTACTTACTTAAAATTACTTACAAGTTCTTCATTACAATGATTATTGTTGGCATTACTGATTTCGTTAGTTTTGATTGACTTGTCGTTTTCCATGAATTTATCTAAAAAAAAGAATGGAAATGCAGCAAATACTTGACCAGTCTATGTCTGTCAGGGATTCTCAAAATTTAAATAAAAAATTAGCTAAGCAAAGCAAAATTGTTAGCAAGAATACCTTCGAAGTAAATGAAAAAAACAAATGATCAGAAGTGAAACTAACGAAACATCAATGAATAATTGTGCGACAAGAAATGTTTCAAATCGTACCTCATTTGAAATCAGTCAGAAGCCGGGCCATGTAATACCCGAGGCGTAATTAGTAGTGATAAATTGAAATAACAAATATATGTATGATGCTATTAAACAAAAAACAAGTAAAAGTAATTTAATCTTATGTTAGCATACACAGGAGTGTCCAGTTAGCTAGACGGTTTTATTCTTAATCTTTGTGGCTGTGTTTCTCTTTTTACTACATTCATTTATTTTATAAAATAAAGCTTCAGAAGTCAGCGAAAGGCAATTCATTCAGTGGCGTGAATGTATGCAAAAGCTGCATGCAAATGCTAATAACTGATCACTGACTTTCAGGTTAAAGTTATACTATCATTTATTTCAATACGTGTATTTCAGGGCACACAATTTCAATTTATGACTTTGAATATTGATTTTTATTTCCCGAAATATGATACTTTCTTTGTTGCGACTTTAGAAATTCGTCGTGTTTGTTTCCTGCTTTAGTTTTTCTCTTTTTTTCGTAGTTTCACACATGGATTTTACAAAAATTTGATTACAGTTTGCGTTGCGATTATTTTTAAGCTGGTGTGCTAAGTTTGATGAATTTAAATCGTGTCATTGTATAATTTGTTTCATTTGAATTTAGAATTTAACAAAATTTTTGTTGATTACTGATGTCCGCTTTTTGATATTATGAAGCAACATTTGTGAGCTGCTAAAGTTGAAGCTGTATCTTAATTTATTCGTTTTCGTTAAGTTGTTAGTTAAAGATCTAGACAACTACAAAATTTATTAAAATATGAAACTCGAGGAAAGAAGTAAAACTCTCTACCGAATTGCCTTGCTAGTGCTTTTCTAGTCTGTGCTTTTGCAACTCATGTTATGTCTTGGTTTATCTTTTTTTAATTGTTTTCTTTTATAAAATTATCAGTAATATTTAGGACAACTTGACTGTCCAAGTAGGTTCTACATTTGGTGTCAGAATTTCCGTAAGATAAAAAGTACTATTATAAGTCAGCACTGCATGTTCTCGATCTATGAATAAATCTGTAATGAAATTTATCATTATTGTTTTGTAGAATGAAGTGTATGTGAAGAATATGGGTAATAAACTTGGAATTAGAGGACCATCGTGGTGTGTACGTGATGCTTGTGGTCTTACATGCGCTGTATTTACTTGGTATGTATAATGAACATTATTGATTTAGACTGAAGTGTATTGCAGTTGGATAGATATTGAAAACTAAACATTTGGTTCTTTGTGTCAAATGATATCAAAGTGTTTCAAGGTTTCTTGACTTGTCTTCTTAGTTTATATACCCTAGATATAAACGATTTTCGCTTCAAAAAAAATCATGTTGGAATTATATTTTTTATTAAGCTATTTAGTGCATGTATTTGGGAATGCGCAAAAAAAAGATAGTTAAAAATTTTTAAATTCTGTCCATGCTTCTATTAGTGAATTAATTCAGATGAAATAAGGCTCATATACATTCATTGAATTAATGAAATCAGTTGGATAGCTGCTTACTACTGTGGAGTAGTTTAAGTCATCATCTTGCTTATAAGAACTGTTATCTTCTCTTTTCTTCTGAAAGATTTAAGAGTTCTCTTTACATCAAATCGGGTCCTATTAAATGGTAGATTAGAAAATAGACTTGTAAAGTATTATTTGCATTTGATTTGTCGATGTCTGTTTTTGGCACTAAATTACTTGATTAAAAACATGCTTTGGGCAATTATTCATATTTCGTAATTGTTTGTGCGTTTGCAGGCTTCTTATATTATATGGAGAGTTTTGTGTTTTGACGGTAATGATGGCGTCATGGTCAAAACATGTCATCCATCAAACATTCCATGCCATCATCTTTCATTTTCTTATTTGCTTGGCATTTTCTTCACATGTAAAAACAATGTTCACTGATCCAGGTGCTGTGCCAAAAGGTAATGCAACTGACGAACATATTCAAAGGTTGCAATTCACTCAAAGAAATGTCATTTACAAATGCTCCAAATGGTTAGCTTACACCTTTCAAATTCCTGTAGTACGAATGTTGCATCCAACTTTCATATGTTCAAGCATTCTGCAAATTTCTTCCTTTTATCATACAGTAATTAAGTATGATTTGAGTGATTTTTCTTCATCAAAGAAAAGTTATTGCAGTAGTAGCGTAAAGCCAGAACGTGCTCATCACTGTAGTGTATGCGGTAGGTGTGTTAGACGAATGGATCACCACTGTCCTTGGGTTAACAACTGTGTTGGTGAAGGAAATCAGAAGTACTTCGTACTTTTTACGGTACTCAATTTTGCCATTAATTAGAAAAACGGGTACTCTTGTGGATGATTTTAGCGTTATCAGTTCTAGAGTTTGAATACATTTGATGACTTGAAAATGGCAGGGTAAACAGTTTCAAAAAAAGTTGAAGGAAAATAGGTTCTTTAACTTTTATTTTTTTAAATTTGACTTACTATATTTTTGTGCTTATTTTTGGTAATCAAGTCTTGTCGACAGAAATGAAACATAAAATTGTAGATGTATATAGGATTATTATCATCGCATGCTTTGTACTGGGCAATTTGGCAATTTGTGTTATGTGTTAACGGAGATTGGCAAGGTTGTTCTTTGTTTGGACCGCCTATTACAACGATTCTGCTCGTATTTCTGCTGTTTGAGGCTATTTTGTTTGCGATATTTACATTTGTGATGTTCGGCACTCAACTCAGTTCAATATGTAATGATCAAACAGGCATTGAATCACTTAAGAACGAACAGTACAATTCTGGTTTGTAAATATTTCAAATTGTTCTCTCTAAATTGATCATAAAGTCTGTGAACAAATAGCTGATTAGAAGTTTGTGGCATTGAATGCTTGGGATTTCACCCAAATAGCACTGCACTGAAGAACTTTGAGTTGTAAAAAAATATATTTATAGGACCAAATGGCTGGAAAAATTTACAGATGATCTTTGGAGGCCCATTTTCGTTACGTTGGTTTAATCCGTTTGCATCTCCTTATGTGAGTAAGCTGACGTTTGAGTACTCCGTCTGATAATTTTTTAAATTTAAGTGTTTATCATGTTGAGCACCAATAGTCATTTTCTCTGCTTCCAAATTAATATTAGTAGCAACTGGTTGCAATTATTATGATGTGAATATCATTGATTTTGTTCTCATTTGTTGACCAAAATACTGGTGCTGAAAATTCCCTTATTTAGTTGGTACCGAGGGATTTGTTTGTTGGATACGTTGTTTAGTTTGAATTTTTGCTGCCATATATACTTTTAATAAGCCTTGCTCGCGATATTTGTTGCAGTCAGTAGTGTGCTTTTACAGTGTTTGTTAATGGTATCTTTTTGTTTTCAGTTTTCTTTCAGTCCTTCAATCTGTATTATGGTCGTTTTTAAACTCATTTATAGATCTAGATTTTTTTCCATTACCATCATTTTGAGTTGGATCATTTGAGATGGAAATACGATAGAATATGCAATACTGTTTCCATGTAATCAGCCAAATTCGTAGGCTGATTACATTTCGGAGCATGGGAGAATTTTCATCTCTTTTTGCTTTTATTGCTTAGAAAATGTTAAGCTCATTTTATTTTTGTGACTATAATGTATCGATTTTTCGAAGAATGTGGTCCACCATAGAACTTTTCAGATTTAATCGCATTTGACTCTCATTTATTTGCGTTGTTTGTTGATTTTATGATTTTCTACGGTCCTTTTTTTGAAAATTTGGTTGTAATTTAGTCTTTGAATATGATTCAGATATTGTGAACTTTCTGCTTTTATTGCTTGGAAAATGTGAAGCTCATTTTATTTTTGGCTTATCATCGTACAAAAGAAGTTAGTGATTTGAATATACAATGAATGTTAAAATTGTGAACTATTATTGTTAGCTTCTTTTCTCAAGTTATGATTAATATTGTCAAGATATATATACCTTGCATTGAGTGAAACCAAATTTCATTCCCTTGTTTCTTATCGGTGACTAGGCGTTAATGCTATTGCATGCTTGCAGGTTAATAAAAGTATTTAAACTGCAGGATCTATTCGTAAAGTACCAGTGTGTTACACAAAAAATTACTGTGACTAAAATATTTCCAAACTTAATCTATGATCGGAAATAATTTTTGGCTATAAGTTGACTAATCTGTTTGCCGGATGGATTCATAAATTGGCATTTCTAAACTCTTTGAATAGAAGGGTCAAAAACATAGAATAATATGAGATGGCACATTTGTGTGTCATAATATTTAGGAATTGCAGTTCGCAGTGCATAACTTGGCATCATAGATTTAGATTAAAATTGCAAAAAATTAGCATATAGTGAAAGACATTCTTACAAAAGAAAAACGATAGTTTATTCATTACACTCTCATTTTGTTATTCGGGTATTAGTGAAGTATTGCCTTGTGGGTCTATAATTTTTTGCAACTATCTTGTCGACCGCTTGGAATTTAACTTAGTTTGGTCTTCAAGTGAATTATTAACCAAGGGACCACATGTAATTTCAGATTCAGGACTAATAAATCCTTGCAAAAGAGAAAAGATGCAGTCATTTGCGCATTCAGTTGGGAAGCCATCGGTGGTCATGCAAAAATTATTATCAAAATGGTGGAAATTTTGCATTATAAGTGAATTCTTAGCCGTAGTGTATATATGTACGATCATCCAACCGGAATACAGTGAACGAGCAAAAGTGTCGGAAAATGCGTTACTCCCAGCTCTTGTCGCAGAAAGATTCAATTATAATGAGCGACTACACCGTTTTCGAACTGAACTTGTCATCGAAAAGTATATTGATTTGTATAGTTTTTATCATCCTTGAAAGCAGTTGGTTCACCATACTCTATTACAATTTTCACTGGATGGTTTAGTAGTCAAGCAAAAGTTCCATGCTTCTTCATAAGCACTGTACATGAAACTTCTAACTTTTCATTAGCAAAGGGAAGTCTTTGAATCTAAAAATTAATATCTGTTGGAGAACTAGACTAATTTCTTTTGCAGAAATCTTACGAGTTATATCAGAAGACAGCTTTTGACTTATGGTATCATGACAGAAACTATACAATTTACTGCAACTCTTCCAGGTTTTGTAAGTTGTCAGCTTCTTAATTTGTAGTACAATATCTTATTATGACTCAAATATATATACACTATATATATATATATATATATATATATATATATATATATATATAT